GCAGGTGGGTGTAAAGCTTAATACTCACAAAGCATGTAATCCAAACTCTTAAATTGGAATGCAATAGCTTAAGCAAATACTGCTTGACTGTGACTGGAGAGTTTTCCCTGCCACCCCTTTAACTCTTGATTGTTGCTGGAAAGTACTGTCTAATTTCTATAAGGCTTTACTCCCTTTAAATGTAGGATCTTGCTGTGTATGACTTTTCTCCATATGTTAAACCTTTTGGTTTTTGGCTTCTGATAGCCCTGCAAGCAGCAGTTAAAACAGACGAATCTAGCATTTCTAGTGTAAAGCACTAGAGCTAGTCAAGGTTTCTCAATCCACTGATGGCTTAGGTCTCTTCAGAAGGAGTGCTAGTGACAAATCTTGTATATCAAGATTTATTTTCAGTCACTGAAATAGAGCCTTTTGATCTGGGTGGCTTCTTCAGGGTGATGTATTTGAAGACTCATGAAGAGCCCATAAGCACAGATCTGACTTGTGGTAGCACTGTCTGCCTAGCCATGGATGGCAAGGCTTTGGAACTGCTGCCTCTAGCATTAATGGGGCTCGAAGGGAATCTGCAGTTATACTCCAGTCAGGGCAAGGAAGCGAGGCTGAGAGGAAGGTATGAGTCTCTGAAGATCTGCAGAGCTGCTCATAGGTTGAATTCAGTAATCTTCTAAACATACCTAGAAGATCCTGTCCATAGAGCAAATTATGGCCTACTGATAGCGGTTTCATTGTAACCAGGCAATGGAGTAGCTCTCAGGAGTTCTTTTTCCCCCCAGACCTATAGAGATTTCAGTGCATGACTTAGTGTTCTGCAGGTGACACTAATAGTGAGAAAGTATAGGTGCAACTCACTCCTGTCTTGTTTTGCTCAGGTGCTCTGTGTCTGGTCTTGTAAGGCATCACTTTATATTCTGGTTAGGAAAAGCCTCTGAAACCTGTGTAAACATACAGGGATCCTAATCTTACTTGGAGGTAGTTAAAGGTAGTTAAATATTCAAAGTGATTGACTAGTCAACCATCTCTCGACTAGGCAAGTTTTTTACTGTTAAAATTGATAACAAGAAATCTTAAAGCATGACTTGGGTTTTAATTCTTTCAAATGCAGTGACCCAGCAGATGCTGTTACTTGATGGACTAAGGTATCTCAAGTTAATGCTGGAAGTGAAATATGCTTCTAGTTCCCAGTGTTCTATATTAAGCTTAGGAGGAAGAGATGCTTTGGGTAGTAGTGTTCATAGCTATAGGCTATTCAAAAGGAAAAGGAGGAAAAAAATCCCTCATGACCCTGTCATGAACACAAGTGATAGAAGACCTCTTAGAATGTGAAACTTGTAGGTATACAGCTTTTTCTGGAAAAAAGCTGAAAGTGTTCTAAGACTTTCATAACAGTTCAAGTAAATACTGCAAATGAAAATGAAGCTTCAAACAAAAGTGATCCAAGGATTTACTAAAATAACTGAATTGAGTGCTGCTACCTTGGTGTAAGTCCAGAAACTAGCTTCCCTACTATTTGTTTAAAATACTGCCCAGACTGAAAAAAAGATGGGATTGGAGTTTGTTTGCCTCTTCTGAATTGAGGAATGATTAAGGGGAGCTTTCTGTTCCTTTGCACAGGTGCTGAACAGGTACTCTTCCACACCTCTCATTCCTCTCCCAACACCGCCCATCCTTCCAGTATTACCTCAGCAATTTGTGCCTCCCACCAGTGTCAGAGACTGCATACGTTTGCGTGGTCTTCCTTATGCTGCCACTATTGAGGACATTCTGGAGTTCTTGGGGGAGTTTTCTGCAGATATTCGGACCCATGGAGTTCACATGGTACTAAATCACCAGGTTGGTAGGTGCCACAAAGATCTAAGGTCTGGTTGCTCTGTGCCAACTGATTGCATACATGAACACGGTCCATCGGATGATATTTTCATTAGTAGAAAAGCACCTCTGGATTGACACTACAGATATTGACTGGCATTCAGCTCTGCTTTAGAAGTGTAGTGGTGATAGATTAGCTTATTTGAACCCCGCTGTTATAGCGCTGCACAGCAAATGTGGCAGCTTTCTATTATGGAGACCCACATGTCTGAATCTAAGCTGCAAACCTCAGGGTGTACATGTACCCAGGTTGGTGTGTGCCTGTCTGCATGCCCTCCTAGAGCAGCAGCTGTGATCCAGCACTGGAGGAAGTTTGAACTAAAAGCCCTGCTCAAAAGTGTGCAGAGTTCCTCCCACATGAGGCATATTTTCTGAAGAAGCGTGACTAATGGCAGCTTGCAAAGGAGTGTGCTTGCTTGTGCCTGCCTTGCTGAGCAATGTGCTTCAGGTGTATTTGAGGACATCCCTGACTGCAGCCTCCTAGAGACCAAAGGATTTTCTATGGCACACATCAGCAGCTGAAGCTCTGGGTCTTCTGAACTGTGTCATTACTTTCTATTAACATTTAAATGCTCACGGCTAAGCACCAAAATTAACAGCTCATTGACCTGTATAGATGGTCACAGCTCTGCCATTACTTTTGACTGTTTCTAGAAAACAACTTGATAGCAACTAAGCTACATGTTGTGACCTCCTCCTCTATCTGCATAGTCTTGTGACTAGGGGGAGGTGAAGGCAAGGAGGAGAAGGCAGCTCCTCTCACTCTATGGAGATGCCCTGAGTGGCTGTACTGATGATTATTGTGGGTCTTCTAAAATTGTTTTGGGCAACACTGGGCTTAAATTTAACTGTAAAATGCTTCCTTGTCCTGGAGTAAGTTGGGGAGAAGGGACTGTAAATATAATGCCTCTGTCTTAAGATTCCTGCCTCTGTGAGGGCTTGACCTAGTTATAGATAAGGCTGAAGAAATGCTTAAAGAATGTGCACAGCTAGGGACAGACCAGTGTAAAGATGCAGATGCTAAAACATAACTAGACAGTTTACACTAGTATCAGCCCTTGCCAGCAGTGATGAAAACCTGGAGGAAGAAATTGGAAGTGCGGTGGGCAGGGTCACTGGATAGCCATAAGCAGTCAGGTTGTCTTTGGATTTTTTTTTATGCTTCTTTTGCCCAACTTCTTTAAATCTTTCTGAACCTTCTATCTACTCCCACCATTTCTGGCTTCCGTCCATTAGTCCTGAACAAGTGTGTAAAGAATGGCAATGTAGTTCTTTTCTCAAACTAGAAGAACTGGCCCAAAACTTAATTTAGAGCTGACTTCAGATTTCTACCTTCTTTTTTGGCTATTTCAAGCCAACAGCTGTGTGTGGCTAAAATAGTTCCTCCCAATTGTATACCCTTCTCACTTATCGCTGTCTGGAAGGCTGTATTTTCCCCACAAATGCATACCAAGCCCACCTTCTTTATCAGCCTTAGCCTAGCACCCTCCTAAAATATTCCAGCCCATATCAGCCTTAACAAAAAAAAATTGCTTAACTTGGCACTTGAGGCTGTATTTACCTTTTGAATTTTAAAATTCAAAGGTAATTAAATGTGGATCAGATATTCTAATTGTGTGTTCTTAAACTCATGAGTTGACACCAAGTTTTACCAAAGTTCTCCTGGGAAGTGTGACGTCTTCCATAGGTTTTTGGTTTTTAACCATGGAAGTAACATGGTTCAAGTTACAGTATAGCTTAACTTTTTTTTTTTACTTTACTATTTCAGTGAAGTTAGCACAAGTCAGGAAAATGCCTGTATGATATATTGGACGGACTAGGGTTCACTGGCAATAGTGGGAGACTCTGAGGAGGAGTGTTTAAATGAGAGCCACAATAGGCAGTCTGGGGATGACTGAGCTTGGCTTTGGAGACTTATAAATAAAGTATGGCTGTAAAGACTGCTTCTAATGGCACAAAGTATTGTTACATTGATACCTCGTGGGAGCTCCAGAAACATCTGTCTGCTTTGTTTGTAGGGACGTCCATCGGGAGATGCTTTTATTCAGATGAAATCTGCAGACCGAGCTTTTTTGGCTGCACAGAAATGTCATAAGAAGACTATGAAGGACAGATATATTGAAGTCTTTCAATGTTCTGCTGAGGAGATGAACTTTGTATTAATGGGGGGCACTTTAAATCGAAATGGCTTGTCCCCACCACCATGTAAGTTACCATGTAAGTTTTGCATGGGTCTTGCCAATGCTCTACACTGTATGCGGGTAGGTGTTGGAGCTGCTTTTTTGACTCCGATTCTGGTTCTTGGCGAGGAGTGTCAAATGGGGGTGGTAAAATAAGGCCTCTTCATCTTAAATCATCAGCAGCTTGCAATCATTATTTTTCCTTTTGGTTGTGGATTGCTATGACTGAAGAACTATTTTAAAATTACTCTTGCTTTCTGACTGGCAAACTTCCTCTCCCCTTCCTGAAACTCAGCTTTGCCGGTGTGAGCCATGACTCTGAAAAGTAATTTGACTGCCTAGGGCTTAAATAAGTTTCCCATTTAAACTGATTTGTATTTACATTTTTATCATAGTGAACATGTCAAAAGCCCTTCCCCTTTCACTTCCAAAACTGAACTTATGAAACCATTATTAATGCTCTGCTCTAAGACTTGACCGCGAGTATTCTACCTACTGAACCACTACTAACTGAACTCCTCTGTAGCTTTTTGTTTGTACAAAATTGAGGTTGCCTGTGTGGAAGTAAAATGCACGTAGCTTTGGCCTGGGAGAATTGCAGAAATTGTATTCTATGTTTAAAAGAAAGTTATGTTCCTCAGAGCTTCTAGAATGAATGGGGACTTGTAGACAAAGACTTGGGGGGGAAAAGTTTTAAGAACTTTCGAAGCATGCAGACAGTATAAATCTCAGCCTATGGGGAAAAATGTTTTGTTTCTGAGGTCAGACGGCAGCATAGTCAAGGTATGGGAGCGCTCTCTTTCTCTCTGCATATGTATATTTTAAAGAAATGATATGTTCTCTAAATTCTAGTCAGGTTAACAAATCTGACAGGCTTCTTGGGAATGTTTCTTCTTGAGCTGTGAGAGTAGACCTGTAGCTAGTCCTCTGAACATAAGTGCTAGTCAGCTGCAGACCTCTTTGCGATGACGCATTTATCCAAGTAGGGATGTGCAGTGATGTCCTGTGCGTGACAGCTGTTCTAGACAAGTATAGGAAGCGTCTCCTGAGTTCCTGGAGCAGATTCAAGAGTGAAGTCCCAAACTTTGGGAACCTCTTAGGTTGCACTGTTCCCATTTCTAGCCACAAATACAAGTGATGTATTCTTCAGATAATGCTTTTCTGCTGTGTCACTGCCTCTTCCCACAAGCCAGTGAGCCACTAACTGGCTCTAAAATAATTCACTATTTTTGTTGTTCAGGGGTACCTAAAGCTTTTGTACATTCACTGTTGTAATACTGGGGAGGGAGAGCGG